GAACCCCCAACTGCTCCCCGGGCGCCGCAGCATAAATGGCTGCCCACTGCTCCGGGTGTGTGTTCACGGTGTGTGTGTGTTCACTGCTGTGTTTGTGCACTTTGGATGGGATAAATGCAGAGCACTAATTCCGAGTACGGGTTACCATACTTGGCCACATGTCACGTCACTTTTATGTATGCAGCATCTTTGTTTGGATCGTGATTAAAATGCAGTGGTTGCCTCTAATTTTAAATGGAAAGAGCACAGACAAAGCCTTAGTTTGTTATATGAAGAGATTTATTTGTGTTATTTATTTGATTTGGGGCTTGTTTTAAAATTTAGTTTAGGTATTTACATTTTCATTATATTAAAATTGTCATTTAGCAGATGCTTTTATCCAAAGCGACTTACAAATGAGGACAATAGAAGCAATCAAAACCAACAAAAGAGCAATAATATGCAAGTGCTATATTAGTATATTATAGTGTTATATTTCAATTTCACAAAGAAACGTGCAGCATTTTGTCCAAGCAATAATAAAGACACATTTAATTTATAATTCTTAAATCTCATTTTGTTAAAAATCGTGAATCGAATCGTGAGTTGAGTGAATTGTTACATCCCTACTGTTAGAAGATAACATCCTTACACACAACAGGTGAGTGATTTAAACGCCACGTCTCTTGTTCTGTGTCCTCTCAGCTGAGTCTAATGAGTGAAGATCTCTCCGCTTTACGAGACCAGCGAAACACAGGCATCCAAAACCTCCAATCAAACCTCCGCTCACTTACAAAAGAGAAAGATGAACTCCAAGACACACTGAAGAGAAGCAGAGAGGAGGGAGAAACACTGAGCCTGGGTCTTCAGAAGAGTGAGGAGATGGTAAGCTTGTTAATAATATCTATGTTGCACCATACAGTCATTTTAGTTCACACTGCTCACACCCAGGAAAACTGCTCATTACATATCAACTTTGTTGCTAGATTTAGCAACTTTTCAGACTACTCTAGCAACTTTGTCTTCACAAAGCACCTAGCAACAAATTTAGCGGTTTTTAAAGTGTATTTGGAAACTCAAATGATAAAAAGGCACATTTTCCCTCTAATTTACACAGAGGAAATCAAAGGTGTCTAGCTGTGCATATATCACGTGGATTAAGTTGCTAGTTGCAATTGTTCAATAATTAAAACACATTGTTATTAGTTTGTACATGCACTTGTTGATCAGATCAGTTAAAGATTACGTAGAAAAATGGAAAATGTACTGGTAATTTTCTGCCAGGACATTATTAAAGTTGTAACCTGAAAACACAAAATACAATGCGTAATTTTAAATAACATTTTTAAAAAATAAAACTGAAAAATCAACAGAAAATTCCTTCAGATTAACACAGTACATTGTGCTCTGTTTTACAGACTTTACTGTGTAGCATACTAACTAACTACAGTGTTTCCCACAGCCTTACACACTATTCCCCCGCCCCCATATACATATCCATCTATATATAATCAGGCATTACATGCATGAAAATAACATCAAAAATTTTCTGAAGAAAGTCGGTTTCCTTCTGAAATACAGTGATATAAAAACACTTGCACCGGTTTTTGATTTTTAAACATGCAGTGCTCAGGTTTTTTTCAACGAAGTCAAAAGCTTTTTGGAAAATCTATTTGTGGCGGTCAGTTTTGATATTGTGACGGCCCGCCACAAATAAATCAATGTATTGGGAAACCCTGAACTACCAATACACTGCTTAAAAAATATAATTGTTCGTTGTTTACTGGTTAATAAGAAAATACATAAAATTTAAATGATCAAAAATGTGTAAATGTTCGATATTTCAATGTTGTATTTAAAAATAAATCTATTATAAAGCGGAGAGTTCCGGTGCTTGATTCTGATTGGCTGAGCCGCGTTCGAAGCTGTTGTAAATGACGCTACAAAGTAACATACACCTTTGTTTACGTTTGTGTGTTGCTCGGCAACCACTTTGTAGCAACCACAACTGTTTCTGAGGAGCTACATTGTTTGGTGGAAGAATACTGTTTTTATTAATATCATTACACTTTATTTGCTCTGTTTTATTTTGTGAAACCTTACTACGTATATGGAATAACCGTTTTATAAAAGCAATAAGCCCCGTGAAGCCGTGGTTTACAGTGAATTTACCTAACAACGGCCCTTAGCTGTTATAAATTCACTGTAAACCACAGCTTCACGGGGATTATTGCTTTAATAAATCTATCTTTTTAGTTTTACTAACAAATCTCAATTAACATTTCAAATCGTATTCATAATCATATTTTTTGCTGAGATTTGAGTGATCTGATTGTGTGTTCTTTGCAGTTTTGCATTGATTACATAATGATGTCATCTAGCAGCTTTTAGCAACAAATTGTCTCGCCTTTCAGCAACTTTCCATGAAAAGTAGTTGGTAACACTGTTACAAAGTAATTTTGTCGTTTCTTTAGAGGAAGCAGCTGACAGAGGAGCTGGAGTGTCTCACTGGCTTGAAGGATCAGCTGGAGAATGAGAAGATCTGTGCCGAGAAGATCCTGGAGTCGTTAAGAGACGCCACGAAAGAGAGGGATCAGCTCAAACGAGAACTGGAGGGAAAGATGGAGAAGGTGAGGACTTAAAATGTGCTGAAAAGAGCAGTGTAATAAATCCGACTCCTACTAACTGGATCTGACGTCAGAGTTTAGTTGCTGCGAAAGCTGGTTTTTGGACTAAAGGTTCCTTTATTGTAGAAAAAGGTTATTTTATTCTTTATTAAATACATGTACAAGTAATAAATTACATGAAATCCATCCGGAGATTTCAAACAGATCTCTTAAAGCTAGATTGATCATGTGGTATTTAGCAGATGTCATACAAGACTGACTCGAGCATTTTTGCTTAAAGGTGAAGACTCTACTCAAAGCATGTTCTGCAAGATTCCCCTTTCTGTCAAACATATTTTATTAGACTGTTCATAAAAAAATCTTTTATGAAGTGAACTCACTTAAAGAGTTTAGTATAATTTTGCCAGAAAAAAGTTTTAGAATTTTTATCATATGTTAATGTAAAAAATCTTGTGTAATATAACTTGTTTGCTGGTTTTTATTGTATTTGTTATACTTGTATTTTATGCCATGGTAATAGCCTAAGATGCTGACATGGCATTAAATAAAAAATATTAGTGCTGTCAAATGATTAATCGCATCCAAAATAAGTTTTTGTTTACATAATATATGTGTGTGTACTGTCTATTTATGTATATATAAATACATACACATACGCCTATATATTTTGAAAATATTTACTTGTATATATTTATATTCATATAATTTAATATATATGCATACATTTCATATATAAACATAACATTTTTCTTACGTTTATTCATGCATGTGTGTGTGCGTTTATATATACATAATAAATATACACAGTACACACGCATATATTATGTAAACAAATTTTTATTTTGGATGTGATTTAATTGCATTTAATCGTTTGACAGCACTAAGAAATATACTAATACTACTACTTTAGATTATTAAAATGTTCTTCACACTAAAAAAATGGTTCTTTTATTAGCTGATCACCGAAAGGTTCTTTGGAGAACCAAAAATGGTCCTTCTATGAAAACACCCAATGAGTAATGTCACTAAGTGTATATTCACTGTAATCGTACTCCCACAGCTGGCACACACTGAATCAAAAGCAGAGCAGCTGGAAAAGCAGAAGATCCTGCTGGAATCTGAAGTGCATTCCCTCAGTCAGGTGACTGACTGTCTCTTCATGTTCTAACCCAGAAGAACCGGTTCCTTTAACTAGCTTTTAAAGCTGCGTCTCATTGTGTTTCAGTCTCTCTCTGAGGTGAACTGCAGCGTGTCTTCAGATCAGTCTAAACACCCATCTGCACATCTGATTCCTGGGATTGAGGCGTCTGCTGAGAAACTGCAGGTAGATGATGATGATGATGAAGATGATGATGATGATGATGGTGTGTGGTCGTAAGACGGTTTTAATAGCCTGAGGTTATTCCTCCATGTGAAGGCGGCCTTTGCCACGCTCCAGCTGATCATTGACCGTCCCACTAATGCTTTAGCGGCTATTAACCGTGAAGAATGGGCCGTGATCTATCAGCTGCTGCAGATTATTCCAAAGAATCGGAGAACCGTCGTCGTTACACACACCAAGAAAACAACCAGACTGAACCATGTGCTGATCAAGATTGCGGTAAGAGTACACGAATCACAACCACCAACATCTTTGAGATGAAATGCTAACCTGAGGACAAACCACTGTAGGAGGCTTACAGGAGACTGGCGCAGCGCTATAAGACTCGCTTTGAGACGCAGCTGCAGCGTGATGTGGCCTCGTTTGAGGAGTCTCGCCTGCAGGACCTGCTCGCGCTCACGGCTCAGTCTCCGTCACAGTCTTTCCGAGCGCTCCAGGATGACTTCCAGCAGGTCTGGGGTCAGAGACTGACACGTCTGCTGGAAAGATGGCAGCAGTACCTGCAGGTATGAGCATTTTTGTTTAGCTACAGGGCTGGGCGATATAGCTAAAAAATGTATCACAATATAATGTTTAGAAGACGATCGATTGATCGGCCTTAGATTATGTCCAGTTTTCCATACATTGAGTTATTTGTGGAGGCTCGTCAAACAAATAGATTTTCCAAAAGGCTTATATGTGGCCCTGGAGCATAAAAGCAGTCTTAAGTCGCTGGGGGATATTTGTAGCAATAGCCAACAATACATTGTATGGGTCACAATTATACATTTTTCTTTTATGCCAAAAATCATTAGGATATTAAGTAAAGATCATGTTCCATGAAGATATTTAGTGTTTCCTACCATAAATATATCAAAACTTAATTTTTGATTAGTAATGTGCATTGCTAAGAACTTCATTTGAACAACTTTAAAGATGATTTTCTCAATATTTAGATTTTTTTGCGCGCTCAGATTCCAGTTTTTCAAATAGTTGTATCTCAGCCAAATATTGTCCTATCATAACAAACCATACATCAATGGAAAGCTTATTTATTCAGCTTTCAGATGATGCATAAATCTCAATTTTGAAAAATTGACCCTTATGACTGGTTTTGTGCTCCAGGGTCACATATTTCGTTGAATAAACTGAGCACTGCACGTTTCAAAATTAAAATGCAGCGCTGGTCTTTGTATATTAATGTATCTTTGAAAAGAACCGACCGTCTTCAGAAAAGCATCAATGTCATTTTCAATTCGTCTTTTCTGTATTGCCTGATAAAGTAGCATTTGTGAACGCAGCACTTATTTGATTACAGCCGTTACCGTGGAAACCACTATACTTCTCCCGCTCCAGCAGTGACACTGTTGTCCTCTGTAGAGTTGCTTTATTCATCTTATGAAATGACTTTGCTGTTATTGTCCTGTTTTCTTTGTGTGAAGCTGCTTTGAAACAATCTGTCTTGTATAAACCGCTATAGAAATAAACGTCCTGGCCGTATTTTTCAGTATCCTGGTACTGATGTGTTTTATTTGTGTGTTGATCAGACACTGGAGGCTGGTGTAAGGGTTCTGGAGGAGGGTTTATCCAAACACGCAGTGATGGTGTCAGAGGAGCATCCGCACCGGATCCGTGATCTGGAGGAGCTGAGATCTCTGCTCGGATCTCCTCAGGCCTCTGCCGTCTTACAGCTGCTCCAGCGACAAATCTCTCGCCGCTCCAAAGCCACCGAGCATCTCAACACATTTTATTTCGTAAGTGATGCATGTGTTTTGAAACGCTGCTACGTGTCTTTGTTCCGCACCTTTCCTGACCATCAGTTCTCGTTGACAGGCTCTGTTGAATCGATGCGAATCTGTGCGCTCTCCACTCATATCTGCCTCTGCCGAGTCCAAGCAGCAGCTCGAGGATCAGAGGAGACAGACTTTAACTCTGCTTCAAGCCCAACACGGCACTTTACCCAAAACTGAGGCTGAACTTCTGCAGGACAATCAGCGAGTGTTACTGCAGCTGCAGCAGACGCAGAAACAGATGGAGGTACGGAGAGTGGCGCTGTTATGCAGGCTTAAATCTGCATGAAATGGACATTCACACTTTATCATTAGGATATTAAGTAAAGATCATGTTCCATGAAGATATTTAGTGTTTCCTACCATAAATATATCAAAACTTAATTTTTGATTAGTAATGTGCATTGCTAAGAACTTCATTTGAACAACTTTAAAGATGATTTATCAAATATATATATAAAATTGACCCTTATGACTGGTTTTGTGCTCCAGGGTCACATATTTCGTTGAATAAACTGAGCACTGCACGTTTCAAAATTAAAATGCAGCGCTGGCCTTTGTACAAAATTAAAATGCAGCGCTGGTCTTTGTATATTAATGTATCTTTGAAAAGAACCGACCGTCTTCAGAAAAGCATCAATGTCATTTTCAATTCGTCTTTTCTGTATTGCCTGATAAAGTAGCATTTGTGAACGCAGCACTTATTTGATTACAGCCGTTACCGTGGAAACCACTATACTTCTCCCGCTCCAGCAGTGACACTGTTGTCCTCTGTAGAGTTGCTTTATTCATCTTATGAAATGACTTTGCTGTTATTGTCCTGTTTTCTTTGTGTGAAGCTGCTTTGAAACAATCTGTCTTGTATAAACCGCTATAGAAATAAACGTCCTGGCCGTATTTTTCAGTATCCTGGTACTGATGTGTTTTATTTGTGTGTTGATCAGACACTGGAGGCTGGTGTAAGGGTTCTGGAGGAGGGTTTATCCAAACACGCAGTGATGGTGTCAGAGGAGCATCCGCACCGGATCCGTGATCTGGAGGAGCTGAGATCTCTGCTCGGATCTCCTCAGGCCTCTGCCGTCTTACAGCTGCTCCAGCGACAAATCTCTCGCCGCTCCAAAGCCACCGAGCATCTCAACACATTTTATTTCGTAAGTGATGCATGTGTTTTGAAACGCTGCTACGTGTCTTTGTTCCGCACCTTTCCTGACCATCAGTTCTCGTTGACAGGCTCTGTTGAATCGATGCGAATCTGTGCGCTCTCCACTCATATCTGCCTCTGCCGAGTCCAAGCAGCAGCTCGAGGATCAGAGGAGACAGACTTTAACTCTGCTTCAAGCCCAACACGGCACTTTACCCAAAACTGAGGCTGAACTTCTGCAGGACAATCAGCGAGTGTTACTGCAGCTGCAGCAGACGCAGAAACAGATGGAGGTACGGAGAGTGGCGCTGTTATGCAGGCTTAAATCTGCATGAAATGGACATTCACACTTTATCATTAGGATATTAAGTAAAGATCATGTTCCATGAAGATATTTTGTATGTTTCCTACCGTAAATATTTCAAAACTTAATTTTTGATTAGTAATATGCATTGCTAAGAACTTAATTTGGACAACTTTAAAGATGATTTTCTCAATATTTAGATTTTTTTGCACCCTCAGATTCCAGATTTTCAAATATTGTTCTATCCTAACAAACCATACATCAATGGAGAGCTGATTTATTCAGCTTTCAGATGATGCATAAATCTCAATTTTGAAAAATTGACCCTTATGACTGGTTTTGTGCTCCAGGGTCATATTCTGTTCTAATTTAATTCTGTAAATTAACTTTTGATTTTTCGGCGCATCGGTGTTGCGCTGTACTAAAAGCATGCTTGCACAAGCAATTTAGCAAATTTAATTTGATTTGCCCCCAAAAAGCACTCTCTCTCACTCACTCACTCACTCTCACTCTCACTCTCACTCTCACTCACACACACACTCTCACTCTCACTCACACACACACTCTCACTCTCACTCACACACACACTCTCACTCTCACTCACACACACACTCTCACTCTCACTCACACACACACTCTCACTCTCACTCACACACACACTCTCACTCTCACTCACACACACACTCTCACTCTCACTCACACACACACTCTCACTCTCACTCACACACACACTCTCACTCTCACTCACACACACACTCTCACTCTCACTCACACACACACTCTCACTCTCACTCACACACACACTCTCACTCTCACTCACACACACACTCTCACTCTCACTCACACACACACTCTCACTCTCACTCACACACACACTCTCACTCTCACTCACACACACACTCTCACTCTCACTCACACACACACTCTCACTCTCACTCACACACACACTCTCACTCTCACTCACACACACACTCTCACTCTCACTCACACACACACTCTCACTCTCACTCACACACACACTCTCACTCTCACTCACACACACACTCTCACTCTCACTCACACACACACTCTCACTCTCACTCACACACACACTCTCACTCTCACTCACACACACACTCTCACTCTCACTCACACACACACTCTCACTCTCACTCACACACACACTCTCACTCTCACTCACACACACACTCTCACTCTCACTCACACACACACTCTCACTCTCACTCACACACACACTCTCACTCTCACTCACACACACACTCTCACTCTCACTCACACACACACTCTCACTCTCACTCACACACACACTCTCACTCTCACTCACACACACACTCTCACTCTCACTCACACACACACTCTCACTCTCACTCACACACACACTCTCACTCTCACTCACACACACACTCTCACTCTCACTCACACACACACTCTCACTCTCACTCACACACACACTCTCACTCTCACTCACACACACACTCTCACTCTCACTCACACACACACTCTCACTCTCACTCACACACACACTCTCACTCTCACTCACACACACACTCTCACTCTCACTCACACACACACTCTCACTCTCACTCACACACACACTCTCACTCTCACTCACACACACACTCTCACTCTCACTCACACACACACTCTCACTCTCACTCACACACACACTCTCACTCTCACTCACACACACACTCTCACTCTCACTCACACACACACTCTCACTCTCACTCACACACACACTCTCACTCTCACTCACACACACACTCTCACTCTCACTCACACACACACTCTCACTCTCACTCACACACACACTCTCACTCTCACTCACACACACACTCTCACTCTCACTCACACACACACTCTCACTCTCACTCACACACACACTCTCACTCTCACTCACACACACACTCTCACTCTCACTCACACACACACTCTCACTCTCACTCACACACACACTCTCACTCTCACTCACACACACACTCTCACTCTCACTCACACACACACTCTCACTCTCACTCACACACACACTCTCACTCTCACTCACACACACACTCTCACTCTCACTCACACACACACTCTCACTCTCACTCACACACACACTCTCACTCTCACTCACACACACACTCTCACTCTCACTCACACACACACTCTCACTCTCACTCACACACACACTCTCACTCTCACTCACACACACACTCTCACTCTCACTCACACACACACTCTCACTCTCACTCACACACACACTCTCACTCTCACTCACACACACACTCTCACTCTCACTCACACACACACTCTCACTCTCACTCACACACACACTCTCACTCTCACTCACACACACACTCTCACTCTCACTCACACACACACTCTCACTCTCACTCACACACACACTCTCACTCTCACTCACACACACACTCTCACTCTCACTCACACACACACTCTCACTCTCACTCACACACACACTCTCACTCTCACTCACACACACACTCTCACTCTCACTCACACACACACTCTCACTCTCACTCACACACACACTCTCACTCTCACTCACACACACACTCTCACTCTCACTCACACACACACTCTCACTCTCACTCACACACACACTCTCACTCTCACTCACACACACACTCTCACTCTCACTCACACACACACTCTCACTCTCACTCACACACACACTCTCACTCTCACTCACACACACACTCTCACTCTCACTCACACACACACTCTCACTCTCACTCACACACACACTCTCACTCTCACTCACACACACACTCTCACTCTCACTCACACACACACTCTCACTCTCACTCACACACACACTCTCACTCTCACTCACACACACACTCTCACTCTCACTCACACACACACTCTCACTCTCACTCACACACACACTCTCACTCTCACTCACACACACACTCTCACTCTCACTCACACACACACTCTCACTCTCACTCACACACACACTCTCACTCTCACTCACACACACACTCTCACTCTCACTCACACACACACTCTCACTCTCACTCACACACACACTCTCACTCTCACTCACACACACACTCTCACTCTCACTCACACACACACTCTCACTCTCACTCACACACACACTCTCACTCTCACTCACACACACACTCTCACTCTCACTCACACACACACTCTCACTCTCACTCACACACACACTCTCACTCTCACTCACACACACACTCTCACTCTCACTCACACACACACTCTCACTCTCACTCACACACACACTCTCACTCTCACTCACACACACACTCTCACTCTCACTCACACACACACTCTCACTCTCACTCACACACACACTCTCACTCTCACTCACACACACACTCTCACTCTCACTCACACACACACTCTCACTCTCACTCACACACACACTCTCACTCTCACTCACACACACACTCTCACTCTCACTCACACACACACTCTCACTCTCACTCACACACACACTCTCACTCTCACTCACACACACACTCTCACTCTCACTCACACACACACTCTCACTCTCACTCACACACACACTCTCACTCTCACTCACACACACACTCTCACTCTCACTCACACACACACTCTCACTCTCACTCACACACACACTCTCACTCTCACTCACACACACACTCTCACTCTCACTCACACACACACTCTCACTCTCACTCACACACACACACTCTCTCACTCACACACACACACACACACACACACACACGATTCTATAGGCAAGACTTGACTAATCTGATTCGAGTATGTAAAGCCTACAAATCACTAGATGGTAGCATCAACACAGCGATTTGTTACAGAACATGTTTTTAAGGGCTTCCAAACACTTACCTTTGTTCGTCTGGCAGGAGATTCAGGAGCAGATGAAGGAGCTGAAGGTCCAAGCTGACGCCTCAAATCTTCAGCTCCAGGAGCTCAGCAGCCAACTGAAGGAGAAGGAAGCCCTGATCCAGAGCTTGCGAGACAAACTTACAGAGTCAGAGGTTGGTTAATAGTTGAGTGTTTGTGCAGGTCACTATACGCTTGGTGTTTGAGAGCCGTGCAACACGTTTCAGTTCACCTGCACCATATCCAAGCTTTTCCAATTAAATACTGAATATAATGTGATTTTCATTTTGTGTGACAGAATGCATTTTTTGATTCTCCATTTCCCCGTAATTTGTCCTGCAGGTTCTGGCTCGGAGGAGCATGACACCAGAAGCTGCTGATCTCGCCGCCCTCAAAGACAAACTTGTCAAAATGGAGCTGGATCACATCGTGGTCACCACAAGTCAAGAGAAGGAGTATGTGTGAGCCGCTGATCCTGTGACGTACGGTTCAGTCTGGGAAGAGCGTGCTTAATGTGTTTCTGTGATTGTTTCGTTCTAGAGTTGCACAGATGACCTCCGTGTTGGAGCACAGAGCCGATGTCATCCGCAAGCTGAAAGAGACCCTGAGGAAAATGCAACAGGACGATGAACAGTCATGTGAGACACTTAGCATAGATGCACCTCCTCACCTTTCAGTGACAACTCACTTTTTTGAGATCAAAATGTGTCACCTGTGAGATTTGCTTCGATCTAGTGAGAAAGTGTTTTTGTGAGGGGGGGGGTGGAAGAACTGGTTGCTTCAATAAGTTTTATATAGTATTTTCTTTCATCTTTACTTCAAAACTGTCTAAAAAGGGTGATATTTGATGTATTTGAGGTCTGAGATGTGGGAACGCTGAAGAGAGAGAGAGAGGGCAAACATTGTGCATTTTAGGTCAGCATTAGCTATGTTTCCATCCAAAGTTACGAATTAAACTTATGCACAAAATTGGAATATCGCATAAAACATTTGCGAATAAAGCACCGTTTCCATCCAGTGCGTTGAAGAGAACTTCCTGATTAACTTGCGCTAAACATCACGAAGAAAACTGAATTTGCTGCATCAGGAGAAGGCACTGTATATAATAACTTGTGTGTACAATAAACTACGAGCTTCAGAGCGCGCAGACGTGCGCAGTCTGCTGTTTAGGAACGCAGTTCTGAGAGTTAATTATAACGAAGCACTCTGACGAGACTTTGCTCAAGCATTTCAGATGCAGTGCGATGAGATCGGTCTGTTGATTAGTCCAGTTTTATTCTGTCCCATCACAAACTCACGTCTTTTTTGATGCGCATTAAGGAATTTATTCAGTAAAGGTGTTTCTATCATAGTTTATGCGCATGTTTTCTTACCGTATAAGACATTTATCCTACTTAGTTGAGCGCATAAGAGTGTTGATGTGACTTTCTAAGTGTTTTATGCACATCTCGTGCTGATTTCTCATCGTTTGATCTGTTTAAATGTCTTCTACAGTCATAGACGGCGATGAGTTTGACCTTAAATTGTGCTCGAGCACCAAAGAGAAGAAGATGGAGGAGCTGCAGAAGAAGAACGCTCGGTTTGAGAGGTAACCGCACCGAAACATCACGTCACTTCTGCTGCCTTCAAAACGGCTGAAATTCGAATTTTGCATTTAAATATTATCAATATTCGAATTTAAAAGGCATACTTTCAGTTAGGGGGAAAACGCTTTTGGCGGCTTTCCTGAGGCCACAAGAGGGCGCATCGAGCAAAATATTACTAATGCACATTTATTAAAGGAGTCATGAACTGCCTCTGTTTTTTTTTTTTGTACTGTTCTCTGAGCTGCACTTATCTTATCAAGATTTTTACATCAAAAAAACATCATAATTTAGCAGTAACAGGCTATTTTCTGTCCTGGTTTTAACCCCCCTCATCAGAACACTCTGTTTGAACAAAAATTAAAAACAATGCGTCTTAATCAACTTATGCACCGATCCAGGATCACTTTAATTTTTGATATTAAAAAGTGCATTCTATAATCTGTGTCTCCTCTCTGTTAATAAGCATTACTCAGACCTTTCCTAACGGTTCCTCATGCAGTCTGGTGAGCAAGCAGCAGGAGGAAATCAACAAATGGAAGCGGAGAGCGTACAAGATGAAGGAGAGCCAGCGAGATGCTCCATGCACGCCAACCAAACGCCTTCCTCCTCTGACAGAGACCGAACTCAACTCGCCCAAGAAGACCTTCCTGGACTCGCCCAAGAGCAAGTTCTTTGACGTGCGCTCCAGCGTTCCTGTCCCCCTCAAGCATCCCCCACAGTTCTTCGATAACTCCAGCCTCGAGGCGGTGCCAGGTACGTGAGCGCTGCTGCCGTGTCTCATACGGTCACGCGTGCAGATCAGTTACTGTGAGTGTGTTCATGTTAGAGGATGCCTGTGCGCCAGCCGAGTCCTTCCTGGATTCTTCAGACAGCGATGAAGAGGGTAAATGCTCACGTGTGGGGTGTTCTTCACTAACACACTCCAGTGTGTTTAACCTGCAGGGTTCCCACGGGTCATGGAATTTCTGAAATATCATGGGATTTTAAAAGGTCTATTCTAGACATTGAAAGTCAGGATTTTTTTTTTTTTTTTTTTTTCCAAGCCAGGGAAAACAGGGGTTTTTTGTT